TGCCTCAGCCACGCAGACAAAAAAAACCATCCAATTTGCTTGTTAATTGAAAACAATTAAGCTGGCCACGGGTTTCTCCATACGCATTCTGCAGCCATCAGGTGCTGCATCCGCATCCGCATCGGTGGCTGGCGAGGATTACCCTCCTCGGCTCTCCTTCCTCGGTTTTTGGAACTTTTCTATTAAACTGTTTGCGCGGCCTCGCTGCCTCGTCGTCGGTCGGGGTCGCATTTTTCGAGGCTGCTCCCTCCGTTTTCAATAGTGTTGCAATGCCCCGACAACACAGTCACCAACAACAAATTAATACAAATAGTCTGCAGAGGTCTGGGCCATAGATTACACTTTCGCAGACAGATTCTTGGCCAGTTGAAGGAGGGTATAGCTGGTTGTCTACGACTGAACGGAAATGTTCTTGAAATTAAGACAAAACTACTCTCGATTTTTTGAGATAAAAATATCTTGAAAACGAGAAAATAGAGAACACTTCATCTTGAATTTGATAAGTATTATTTTTGAGATCGATCAATGGGTAATGGGTACGAAATGGTCGGATCCGTAGGATGCCTCTTCCATTCCCTTCTCACCAATCCCATCATCATCTGCGGCTAAGGCTATCATCGCTCTGCCTTTCTGCTCTTGAAAGTTTCCTGGACTTGGCTAATGTGCTTTAAGTATGCGGACAAAGGAGCTCCTCTGCGGCGACTGTGAGAGTAGTAAATTATTTATTGGTATATTTGGCTTTTGAATTGAACACTTGCGGAATATGGGGTGCAAGGCGAAAGTGAAAAAGTTTTAATAGAATTTCTTGTTTGATATCCCTTTTGCGAGCTGCTTTGTCTGCTGCTCTGCCTAAGCCTTGGCATTCCCCATTCTCGATACTAAACCCAATCCCAATCCCGATCCCAATCAACTTGAATCCCGCTATTCGACGCGTTAGTTACATTGTATCCTTGGCTTTGTTCGATTTCCCAGCATGTTTGTCTATTTGTTCGCACTTAATGTTTTGTTATTATTGCTTTCGAAGTGTTGTGTCCTGAGCTCTTCTTGCTTGAGTGGTGAGTGTTGAATTTTCAAGTTGAATCCCAGTCCGTAGTCCGCAGACCGCAGTCCGTTGTCCGTTGTCCGTAATCCGAAATCCTCTTTCGACTGTGGGTTTCATCCGGATCTAAATGATTTGCTTAATCCAATTACATAATTAGCCCAGCTATGCGAACAATAACCAATAACTAATAAAATCAAAAAGTCCGGTTGAGTGTTGAGTGTGGTGCGATTGCATTGATAAACACGAAAAATCCAGTTGCTAAATTCAAATTCAGCGGGTGTAATCGGGTTTTTGTTCCGATTCTGATTCCGATTCTTGTTTGTCAAACATTTGATTTGATTTTAGACCGAAAGTGCGTTCCTGTGCGTTCGTTACAGCCGAAATATGGCGTTATAATAATTTTCATTGCAAAATTTACACATGCATAATTAATTAGTATCAAAAATTTAATACTCACACTTTGTATCTGCTTAAATATTTACACTTCGTGCCAAATTTGTATGCAAATCGCTTTGCTACAGACTGACAATAACGAGCACACACCCACAGTCACAGCCACACCGACACTAGCACCCATCCGCTCCCACGCACACACACACAGGGGCACACACACAGGCACACGCGAAATGTCAGACAATTAAAAAAGCATACTGCGCGGGGCATCTGACTAGCACCCATTTGTCCCTGCGATAGAAAGCATAAATGTCTTGATGGAATGATAATTTGGGTAGTATATGTATTTTAAGATTGAAAATGGTTTAAAAAAAAACTTTATATCGATATTTATACAATAGCGATACGATAAAACCGATGTTTTTAAGGAAAAACTCCTTTGTCAATATCGAGAAATAGCAAACTGACGATATTCTTTCAAGCTCTATCAAAAAATAATCTTATATATATATATATATAAAACATACCCATGTTTTATATTCCAGCATTCAATTCCTAGCTGAATGGCCGTCACTGTGGGCCGCCAGTGTTGGGCAAACAGAATCGAAAACGGGTTGCCTGCCGCTGGCGTTCCTGTCCTCTCCATCCCGCCCATCCTGCCCATCCTTCACCATCCTGCCCGCCACTCCGACCCACGCGGTGGGGGCTTTTCGACTGGGCGATTGGACTGCGGATGGTCGGACTGATGGGCGGCGGTCGGTGTGGATCTGGGGGGAATCCGGGGAGCTGGGGACTGCTGGTTGATTGTTGTTTTTGAAAACCCTTTTGGTGTTTGCATTTAACGAACAGGGCCACAACGACACAGCAGCAAAAACAACAATAGAGCCAATATAACAGCCATGATGGGATGAAATGGGCTGGGATCGGGATGGGGAGCAGGAACTGGATTGGGAATGGGCATGGGCAAGATGGGAAGCTCCTCTGGCTGTGGAGCTAATAAAAGGCTCGTTACAATGAAAACAAATCAAATCGCAGGCCAAGCCATCATCCGTCAGACCAAAGCAAATCCCAGCGAAAATGAAACACGGCTAACGAATGCCACCGCCAAACAGGAAGTAGTTTGAATTTCCGGTGTCATTCGGAGCCCCCATTCCACCAGGATACCCCTTCCACCTCCCACATCCCACATCAGAGGCTGCTTTCCGCCTAAATGTTCAAATTGATTACTATAGTGGAATGGGTTCGGTTGGCCAGGATGGGTTAGCCAGGCGGTGTTCAGGGATCAACTCGGCCTCACTTTGAAATGCCATTAAAATGTATTTACAAACGCAAATTGATAGTGATTTCGGTTCGGTTAGGATCTGGCGAGGAACTACAGCTCCAGCTCCTGCTCCCGGTCGCTGGTCAGTTCTGTGGTCCTGGTTCTGTGCCTGCGCCTGTGGTCGACGTGTTGACGTTGCAGCTTAGCCGTCGATTTGTCAGCAGGCGCGCGAGTCCTGCTGTGCCGCGAATAAGCCGCTTGTACGGGCACCTCCTGGTTTAAGGTTCGATTGCCACTGCCGGAGTTGAACGACCAGAACTAGTAGGTACTACTATGTCGGCCTGTTCTGTTCCACGATTCACAAAATACATCGGAGTAACGGAAGGGGCGGATCTCCTGCCAACTACCGCTTTCCTGTGCGTGATTACCCTGCGGAGCATAGAACGTGCCACCTGGAGAACAGAAGCTACACGAACGACTGCACCGTGAATTTATAGTGTGTCGAAAATAGCTTGAAATTTGTATGTAAGGGGAGGGCTAATGATCAGAAATCGGTTAACCGGAACTCCAAAAATTCTCTATTTAATTATGTAAACTAGTATTATTGGCAAATATTAACATATATTTTTTAATTTCCCCATTACCACGATTTGGACTGGAAAAACTCGCCAGTTTGTTTGTTAAAGGGAGCATTTAATTGTCGCGAGCAGTTAATCGCCTAACCGGAACTCCAGAAAATTCTCAATAATTGCATTTTCTTGTTCTAATTTTGCTATAACTGGTTTTTGTTTGGGGTAACTGAAAAATAGCTTGAAACTCCCCAGTTTGTATGTGAAAGTAGTCTTTGATGCCCAAAATCGGTTAACCGGAACTTCACTATTTCGTTAATCCCAACAAACAGGTACATATACACTTTTAAAGTTCTTCTCACTCTGCCGACTCGAGGCAATCTGGATTAACTTGTGGATTTGTCTGCGAGGAAGGAGGAATGGGACAATCAGACAACTACGATGTCAAGTTTAACTGCAATTATTCTCAAATGAACTTGCCTTGAAATGCAATTTCAGGCATGTGTCTAATATATGCAAACAATTTACAGCTGCGGGCGAAAAAACAGGACATTCCGGGAGCAGGACTTGGACATGCCACACACACACATGGGGGAAAAGGGAACCAACAATGCTGAATCAATATGTAGAAGAACGAGGGCGCTGAAGAGCCAACTTGGTAAACAAGAAGCGTGACAAAATGATAAAGTGTCGACACCGCTATGAGGCTAAGAAAACAACAACTTGTTGGTTTGGGCCTCCTGAACTCATGGAGGAGCTGGAGGACGATACAGAACAGCCATGGCAAAGTGAGCAATAAACATACGCGATTAAATTCATTATGAACACTTGAACAGCACACAATACGACTGTGAAATGACAAACCTGATTGCGATTGCGAATGCCTGAATGTCTGTAAATATGTGTCGTCTGGGTCTCTGGGCTTCGGTGGGCCTCTGTGCCTGCTTCTGGGTGAGATGGGGTCGGTTCGGGTTGGTTTGTGTTGGTCCCTGGTCCCTCGGAGTCCCACATCAATTCAACATTGTTTTGCCGCTTGCCTGTCGTCGTGTGTCCCCTGTTCCACAATGGCCTTGCTTGGATCCTGGAGCTTATGGAGCATGGAGCATGGAGCATCCCTTCCTAAGGACAAAACACGTTCGTGACTTGTGTTGCTGAGGTCCCCAGTTCCACTCCTCCATTTGCCTTTTCAATCGTGCTATATGCGCAAGTGATTGGAGTGTGCGTGTGCGATTACTAATTGCATTGCTCTGATATCAAATCAACATGCTTCCGCACTGATTTCTATCCGAGATTCGCCTGGAGCAAGTCCAGGGTCACCTTGCATCCGCAAAAGTCCATTTTACTGTTGCCGTTTTGGTCCTATAATCTGGACCAGGCCACCTAATTGGCGTTGCCCCTAATTGGTCTAATCAACAGTTGGCGACGAGCGCCCAAAATTAACCATCGCGAATTGTTGCATATTGTCTTCGCTGCTTGATATGCCGAGTGTGTGTGTGTGTGTGTGGTTGGTTGGTTGGTTGGAGGAGAGGATTCTGATTCTGATTCCGACTCCCCTGGTCGTGATGCGATAATTGCTGTCACAAACAGTGGATGTGGATCTGCATCGGCGTAACCATAAACCGTTGTCCCACCAACCCACCATCCACCACCCACCATCTATCCATCCGTGTGTGTGCACGTGAGCGCGGGTAATGGCGCGGCTGGCACCACATTTCGCCATTCGCCATTCGGCCTCGCTACCTGCCTTCACATCCACGTCCACATCCACGGATGACAGGCCTTGCCCGCTGGTTTTAGTCAATTTTGGTTTGTCGCCTGCAGGCTCGGAGGTTTGCAGGCCGACTGGATAGCTGGATAGCTGGACAACTGGATAACTTAGTAGCAGCCTGTTGAATGTTCAATGAGATGTCTTTCGGCTAGGACACAGCTGACCAGAATCAACAGCGCGCGCCGGGGATAAATGGCCCGTGGGCAGGAGTTCTCGTTGATCCATTCGCGAAAGTGATAGACATCGGTGTAGATGCCGGCCGTGTCGGGTTCGCCGCAGCCCGTGCCGAAGGACACGATGCCGGTCACCTTGTTGTCACAGATGAGCGGCCCCCCCGAGTCGCCCTGGCAGCTGTCCACCTCGGTGTTGGTCGCATCGTTGGCGCACAGCATGCCCTCGCTGCTCCAGCCCATCAGCTTTCTGCAGAAGGTGTCCGGCAGGATCCTCACATCGCCGTTGATCACCTCATCCGGCAGTGGCCCGTACTGTTGGATATGCTTAGATGAAGTGGGGAAAGGTACTGAGTAGACGGTGTGCCGCACCTGAATGACTGTGCCCCAGCCAACGATGGTGCACTGCACCCCGGCCACCGGAGCCTTGTGGTACAGAGCTATGCTGTCCGCCGAGCCGCCCAGCGTGATATCCTCCTTGGTCAGCACTATTCCGATGTCGTACTTCTGCGACTTGCCCTTCTTGTACTTGGGATGCGGCACCAGCTTCTTGGCGACGACAGTCTGTGTGGAGCCGGTTTTCACCAGCCTCTTGGGCGTCCCGGCGATGACCGATATCTTCTTGGGCATTAGCCTGCGTTTGCTGTAAAATATTTTATTATGTATTTAATCAGCGGCGCTCAGCGACACAAAGAAGAATCGTCGTGTGCCCAATGCAAGATGGGCGTGTGACGAGCAACTCTGTATTAAGTACTCACCCACTAAACAGGCAGTGGGCTGCGGTTAGAATGGCCCGTGGACTGAAGATCGCTCCCGCGCAAAAGTGGTTGTCGCCGAAGAACTTCTTGGACTTGCCCAATCGCAGCGAGACGACGTACTTGACCAGGTTGTTGTTCTTCGGCCGATAGCCGCCCGTGATCAGAAACTGAAAGTCCGAGGGGCTGGGATCGGAATCGGGATCCTTAGCGGCACCTTCCTGCAGCGGCAGCGAATGCAGCTGTGCTGTTGTGTTCGATTCGGGGACCAACTCGGCGTTAACAGAGATCAGCAGCAGAAGGCACACAACAAATTTGGATAGACGACACATTTTAGATGGGTAGGGAATAGGCCCTACACAAAAAATGTGACACTTAACAACAATGCTCCAGTGTTCCAACCTAAAAAAAAGGGGCAAAATGGCAGACAGTGCCACTGGAAGATAGCGCGTTTTGCAGCCATCTGATAAGCTGATGAAAAAGTCGCGTTCATAAATAACTTTTGCCACCGCAAGTGTGCGTGTGAAGCAACAGGAAGCATTTCTTTAGCCTGGGGGCTCCAACTAAACTGCGAATTGCACTCAGTCAAGTCGAGGAGCCACACATACTGCGTTGTCAGGTTTTTTCCAGCCCTCGCCACTAAGTAGTTGCTTGTTTCATGTCACTTAAGTCGCTGCCTTTCGTTGCCTTCCGAAGTTCCAGTTCCGAAGGTCCCTGGCATTCGACGACCGGGGTGAAGGTGTCGGCCGGGTCGTTATCATTAATTTGCAGCCTGCTTTTTGCAATAATTTACAAGGCACTTCTTTTCGCCCCAGTCCAGAGGGTCGCAGCAGGCAGCTTCGAGCTCCAAGGACCCTGAGCCCTGAGCAGCTCCTCCAGCTTTTTGCCGGCGGCGCACAGTGGTCCCACATCACAATTTATACTAAATAACAATTTTGTTAATTCATTTACCTTAAGATGATATGGATTTTTGGTTGGTTTTATACATATAAAAATATTAATATGTATTGTTACAATTATTTCCACATTAAATAGTTTTAGAACCAATGTGCAGCTGGCTTCCTGCTGCCTTGGCCAAGTTTTTAAGTTGAGTTGTCATTTCGCCCGCTTACTAGAGACAAATTTGTGCGGCAGGACAAAAAATGGTATCCATTTTTTACCCAGCGACCCACTTTCACACTATACGTACTTCCATCTTCATATGCGTGGTGATAGTAGAGCGTTGGACAGTTGGAAATTCAAGCTCTCTGCATATTTTTACTTAGCTATTAAAAGCCTCGGCCTGCGGCATCCGGCAATTACGATCCAGATATAAAGAGTCCAATGGCAAAACACCGAAATTTATTCGATGAGCAGTCGGCGGCAAATGTGAATCGGATTTCAAGGAGGAGCAGCTGCACAGGTTCCCCAGGAAGCCAACTGTGTGGGTAGTGGTCAGGGAGCAGTTGTCACCGGCCAAACAATTATGGCACCTGACTGCCCTCAGATAGCAGACCATCCAACCAGCCAGACATGCCATGCAAGCCATGCAGACATGCAGGAGTGTGCTCTTCGTATTACTTATCGCCACAGACGATGCCGAGCTTTGATTATTGTTGCCTTTTGCAGTTTTAACTAAAACGCATTCGGTTCTGGAGTGCCAGGAGCTGCCAGGCTCTATGGTAATCGTAATCCCCTCCAACGCCCTCTCCTCTATTTGTTTGCATACATTGATTGAATTTGTTTACGCCATTAAATTTGCAAATTGCTATCGGCAATTTTGCATAAACTGCAGTGTAAGAATTTACCGCACAACTTGCCCGTCCGTTTGTCCGTTCGTTTGTCCGTCCGTCCGTCTGCTGCATGGCTAATGCTCCATTGTCCATGGCCCACCGTGCGGTGGACGGTGGTTCCGGCAAGGACAAGGCCAAAGCCAGGGGCAACCCTCGTGTGAGTCTGGCATACGAGTCATTAACTATTCATATGGCAAACCAGAGCAAACCGGCAAAGCAGCAAGGAGAGGAGGCAGTTGATGACACATTTGATTCCGCCTGTCAACAGCCGACAACCAGCATAGTCCGGGAGTCTGGGAATCCGGAATCTGGAATCCAGAATCCATACTGTCCAGACTGTCACCTGAAAGCCCTCAGAATGAGAGAGCCTTGCGCAAGGATTCGGGGCTCAGCCGGATGAAGCTAAGTGGGCTTGATATCCGGTTGACCTTCGTCTGATTCGCATTTAACAGGCATAAACAGTGCTTAAGCTGCCGCGAAATCAGGGGTGAATCTGGAGAGGAGCGGTGAAAAATTGAAAATATCCCTCCCGCGGGCAATCTTTCTCGCGCTGAACTGGGAAATCGAATTGCGGATGGCTTAAAGACGACTCTGTGCAAATTGCGTCGAAATACGCGAATGGTTTAAAGCCAGAGTGCCGGAGAATCCGGTTCATTGTCTTCAAAGGGCAAAGTGATGATGATCAGGGGGCCATATATTTACATTACCACCGGCGGAGCAACCCACTTGCACTGCCGCATTATTTAACTTGTGTGTTGTTGTGTGCTGCGAACCCCCTTAAATTTATGATAAAAGTTTTCGCTTAACGCAAAGGTAGAGGCCTCATTCAATACGTATTTCAATATTTCTCATTTCGCACTCGCATTCGGGTCAGCCTCTGAAGGTCAGTGGTGGATTTTGAAATGGTGTTCGTACAGAGAAAAAGAACAGTCGAAAATTATTGGTCTTCAATTTAAACACAAGATTCGTAAATCAAAAAAATTTGTGTCTAAATTTAAAACCGTTTTTATGTAAGAAATGAAATATGTTTTTGTTTTTAAGAAAGTTTGTTTCTGTTTTAGGCATGTTAGTTTTTATTTCTTATTAAGAATTTTGTTCTTAAATGTAGACTGGATTTTTTCCTCAGTTCCAGGCGTAACTCCACTTCGGCCGATCGGTGATACAATGTCGTCACTATTCACTAATCACTAATCACAAGACCATTTCCAGATTCAAGTATCTGGAGGCGCATCTCGGTCATCTCTCGCCTGCTGCAAATTACTTTTCCGCTCGACGAGAGCACCGTAATGAGCATAATCCTAATTATCTCTGCCATTCCTCTCCGGCTGGAGGTGCATGGCCATCTTTCCTGTGTGTGTGCTCTGTGCTCTGCTCCTTTGAAGCTCTGCCTCCACCGAGAGAGCTCCAGCTCCTTGCTTAATTACATTTTTTTACCCACACCCTCCTGCCGCCTGGCTGGCCAGGCACTCTAGAGCGGAATGGCCAGGAATTTTTCCACGGCTGATTGAATTTGGAAATGCTGTCGGCTGCACTCCAAGTTGGCGTCGTCTCTTCTCTGTCCGACCAAATTACATTAGTCGAGAGCAGTGCAGTCGCGGCTTATCTTATTAAGAGCAGTCATAGATACGCGGCTTTTGCGGTTATATTTGGGAAGCCTTGCGAACCAATGGCCGGCCTGGCCAATAGATCCACAATAATTTATAATTAGATAACTACAATATCTAGATATTTGTTAATATCATAAATAACTTACGCCATTTTCGATCAAATTAAATTAAATATGGGAAATTGAATGGAAATTAAGAGCTTAATTGATCTAAACTTTCGCAAAATAAACAATCCCCAAAAAGCCTTTTCGAATCAGAATGTCAACTATTTACAATTTATAAAAAATGTAATCTTAGTTTTATGTGAACATTAATACAGAATTTATACTGTATATAGTATGTCCTCAGATATCATAATACAAGGATCGCCTAACTGAGCCGGAGAATCGCAGACGATGCAGCTTTGGTCCAATTTCAAATAGTTGCCAATACACTTTTGCCCGAAAATGTGCCCGCATTTCAAAATAACTCGGCGATGGCTGCCGTCCGTCTCATACTTCATGTCGCATAAGCAACATTTGTTTTGATCTTTCATCTCCTCCGCTTCCAACTTCCGCTTTTCTCTGTCGATTAAAAGATCCAGATTCCTGTCCTGCATGGGGATCTCCTGGTCCATCTCCACGAACATGCTCCGCATCTCATGTACTTTCCTGCGCAGCTTTACCAGATGTTTAATTCTTTCTTTGATCCGCTCAAGCTTCGCTGCCTCGACTTCAGCGACAAGATCCCTCTCCGAAAGTTGTTTTTCGTCCATTTTGCCTTTTATCAATACAAGTCTATGAACTGTATATTTCTGACAAGTTATACGTCGGAAGTATAAGTCGGATGTATACTTCGCCAGAAGTATTTGTCAGGGAGTAATAGGGTGCGTTCAGCAGAACAACATAATCAGTGATCAAAAGATTTTTTTTTTATTATTTTTTGAACTGTTACAATTCTGAATATTTAAGAGAAAATTTGAGCATTAAAGATAACATTCCTAAATTGTACAAATTTTTGAAACTTCCCAAAAGTTTACACGAAAACCTTTGCTTAATTATCGTTCATTCCATTTATAGATCTTTAGGTATAGGGATTATTTCCCAATAAAAATTTACTTTATAGGTCAAACGATGGGCGGCCTACAAGAACTCACAAGCCTGCAGATAGCACGTTCAATCTGGAATCTGGAATACGTTTGACAAACAGGTTGGGGGCCTGCAGACTTGCTCCCTCAAATCCTGGTGGCCTCGTGGGCAAGGGGAAGGTGTGAGAAGCGTCGACGCCACAAAGTGGCTTATTATAATTTCCAAAATAAACTAAATGTATGCTTTGGTTACCCGCTTGTCTGTCTAAAAGTGAAAATAATATTGTAGTTGAAATATAAACATTGACGTGCGCCGTGCGTGTGTCTGTGTGTCCGTATGTCCGTATGTCCGTATATCCGTCTGTGTGGGAAGTTGGATGAGGACGTTAGATGGTGGATGGGCGGCACGTGGTCACTGGTGTGGTGTGCGCTTTATACTCGTGCCACAGGAACAACTGCCACTCGGAGCCGGAAAACGAAAAGGGTTCAATTCCCCCTCGACCATGTTAGTCCACCGTCACCCCATTCCATTTCCATTCATTCCATTTCCATTCCCTCCATTCCTGTCCTGCCCTGTCTCTCTTTTGGCTGCCAGACAGTTGGCCGGCATTCAGCATAAGCATATTAGGCGTCGCCATTCGGCGGTGGGCGATGGCTGGATGCCTGGATGGGTGGATGGTGGGTTCAAAACTGGGGTGACACTAAAACGTGACGTTGAATCCAATGCGATGCTCAAGCGTGTGAAAATACCAGAAAGACGTGTTGCTATCAAATGCTTTGAATGCCGTCGCTGGCATAGCACAGCATCGCAACGGAACGAAACGGAACGCTTGGCGCGTGTGCTCTTGGCCGCCAAGCGTATTTATGGCGCACTCGTAAGTTAACAGACAGCGGAAGTGAT